ACGTAAAAGCAACTGGCAATCTTGAATGTCAAATAAAGCACTCTGGTGGGAAATACAGTAACTTTTCCATTGACGTCCATAGACATACTGTGTTATTTCAGCCGATAACCAGAGGCTTGATAATACTAGGCTTTGCGCACCAACCTGTACACTGAATCTGAGACAGAAACAGTTAAGTCCTTCCCTCTGTTCGTTTAACTCCACCCTTTAAGTTACTCTGCTCGTCCAATTAGTCGCTGTAGTTGTTTCCTTAAATAGTAGACAGCAACACTAATCTAAACTTTATGAGAATGAGGACAATATATTTAGACTGCATTTCTGTCACTGACTCCCCTGCAATGCAGCAGCATGCGTTTTCGCATCCTCTGCCTTCCTCTATCTGTTCCCTCTCCTAATATGTTTAGAGGCATACTGTGTATTTGAAGCACAGATTGTTGAAAGTGTTCTTTCACAGTCTTTGAGGCCATAAGTAAAAGAGAGCGACTGAGTGAGTGAAGCAGTAATCCGAAGGCTCTGAGCCTACCTTGTGTCATCACATTCTCCCGGCTCTACCACTTCGTTAGGCTTTACTCTTTTGTAAATGGGGAGTTAGAACTTGCCAACACTGCAGCACTAAGATAATCCGTGAAAACGGATGTGGGCGGAATTCACGATGAAGCATCCGCTTCCATCAAAAAGGTGCATAAATGTGATGCAAAACAAGCAGGCCAAACGTTCAGACATAACAGCAGCAATCACCATCAGCATTTGGCAGAGGCACAGCTTCCTTTTCCATCTCTTCAGCGCACACATACACTTGGACATCTACACACAGCTCAGCACACAGATGACTAGCAACTGGTTTGGTTGAGGAGGGCAGAAAAGGACAGAATACAGCTGACAGAAAAATCTGTATTGAAGAGCAGGTCATGAGTGGGTGTTTTAAATGGTATGATTCCAGGCTTTCTCTTCTCCCTTTTATTTCTTTGCCTGTAGAGAATCTGGAGATGCTGTGGCATTCCTGCCATTAGATAAAGCAGCACGGATGTAGACCTCTAATAAGAAAGCACACCATTTCAAATATGTTGCTCTGGTGTGGAAGGAAAATTGCTCCTATTTCATTTTACAGTGACATAAATGCTTAAAGAGATTAATATGTACAGATTTTTTTTGCACTAGACACGCAAACCCTTATCTTATAGATGGTTTAAAAACTAGCAGCATAAAAAACAGTCATCCAAGAGTAAAATAACAAGGTTATGTCTTATATACCCAAGTAATTAAGTTTGATACAGTTTAATTAATGCATCTTATAAGACCTGTTACCTTCATTACTTTTGTTGCTGAGGTTTCCAGCAACATAGACATATAGCCTTGGGATCAGTACACATTTAATTTCTGAGATGTCAAAAACACTATATAGCATCTGCTTTACAGTCTGTACATAGATATGGGTTTTTGGGGCACACACGTGAAAGTGCACAGTGTGTTGCCGACATTTTCTGTATCCCATTTTCCCAATTTGAGGGTTCTTGTGACTCAGACTGTCCTCAGCCATCACACTATGACCTACTGCATGAAACACTCTCCAACGCTCGGGTGTGAAACCAGATAGGTGTGTCAGCTAAATAAAGACATGAGCCACAACAGTTCTGATAAACACAACACGCCTTTACTGGAATGCCTGACATTTGCATAAAGGTCTGCTGGACAGTAGAGGTGCATCACGTAAAACAAGATGCAACATAAAGGCATGCAAATGCAAAACACAAACAGGTAAAAGACTTGTTTCTATTCTGATGCTTATTCACACATGGTTTATATTTAAGGTGTTGCTTTGGAAAACTAAAAGGCATCTTGAGAAAAGAAAAAAAATCCCTGAGAGCAGTGAGAACAATGTGAAAATGCAT